CAGACGTCTTACTTTTCGAAGTATCCGCCACTCGGGCCACGTAATGGCCTTTTAATAGAACTATTTCGTTCCGTCATGGAGCCAATTTGCACCTAATTATCACGTTCCGCCAGTCACCATTGGACTCGTGGCGTAATGACATGACCTTACTGAACATTAATTCTTGAAAACCGCGCGTCGTAACTCACCAGGTACTGCTTCGTCCGTGCCTTCGGTAAGGCGCTTTGTTGTATGCAACCATGCATTCATGATCAGCCCGTGTTCTCCTCAGCTTTTCAGGGGGCAGTGGTACCTGTATGTACCATCTGGTTTAGTGTGAATCCAGACATCATTCGCAAGTTTATCCTTGCCATGGAGACGCTTTGTTCGCGGTGCGAAAAGTCCCATTTTTTAATAAACTGTGCTGGGGTTGGCTCTGCACATCAGGAGGTCAGTACGAGATTGTGGGTCATTCACTCGTCTGCGTAATACATAAGGATTCAGTCCGGACCGCCAAGAAAACACTACGCTTCACCATTAAAAAGATCGAGTGGTTAACTCCTTAAAGCCGAACCCCGTCTAAATAATATATAATAATTCAGCCCGTACCGCGAAGAAAACACAACACTTCACCATTAAAAAGACCAACTGGTTTCCGCTGTTTGAGGAAATGATCGCTGTTTGTACAGAGAATCATACGGAACTCATCAACTCAAAATGGAAGAGTTAGATTTAAAGCAGGTGGTACATATGCTTACCATTTGGCTTCAAAGGGTTAGACCAGGCGCGTGAACACTGTACGCATGCCTGCAGACACGTACAACCGTTTAGTTATGGCGTGCGTAGAAGACGTCCCACGTGCGCCGCCTTTTATGGAATTGTATGGTTCATTTCTGTCTTCGCGGAGTCGTACCCCGAGCCGAATGGATCCAGTTTAATCCCTCCCACGCGTTCTATGTCGCACCCCACAAATGCACCTTTTTTTTAAAAAAAAAAAATTCGTCCTTACGTCGTGGGCAGATCATGGCACGTCTTCCTTAAATGTCCAGCAATTCTGCATTGAGTGAGGTCAGTGGATGCGAATTGGCCTTCGAAGAAAATCCTCTGCCTCCCCCACGACGTGAGGTGGGTGACGCGAAACGCCTTGAATCGGCGCACGTGGGATTTGAAGTGGTCACTCCCGTCGAGAGGGACTTTTAAAGATGGCCGTGACGTTTGAGAAGTTCTTTCTTACTTCATAATAAGGACGATCATTTTTATCATGGAGGGAGTAAGCGCCTCAGAAACGTCGGCCTTCACCTTCCTGATTACAAGAAGAGCCATCTTCATAGTCATCCCCACGAGAACCTGAAATCTCTCCCATGAATTTTTATTTCGGTGGTTGAATAGAAAAGTTAGCACCAAGATTCAACGAGGTAAGCGTCAACCTGTCCTCTCTCCCTCCGACTTGATTCCGTCAGCTAGGCCATGCGATGGGTTACAGAAGGTTCCCAGGTTGTGCCCGCTCATCCTTCTGGTAAATAGGTAAGGCGTTCCTAAGTAAAGTCTTTCCGTACCTCAAAGAGAACGTAACTCCTCGCCTTTACAAGGAATTAAATGGTTGGCGTTAAAGAAGTGGCCGACGGCCAACCAGAATGTAAATACGTAATATGGACGGTCCATTTCGCTTTCGGCGGCCAGTTTGCCACTGAATCTTACATCGGCTTCTTTCCCGCCAGCTGGAGATATTTCTCTCCGTCTTTGTCTTCCTTTCTAACCGCTGCCCTACAAGACCAAGATAGTAAGGACGTGTGGTGTTGTTCACTGAAGTCCTTACTCCACGGCCTTCTTATTAGCACGCCAGCCAGCCGGCTGTTCTAAACTTAGACCTTCGGAGCAGCTGCTGGGCTTGGGGCTTGATTCCGTTGTTTTCTTTCTTTCTTCTTTCCCGCCAGAGCGCACAGCGTCTTGTCTCAGGAGAAGGCACTTCTCCTATTCTCGCTGCCGTTGCTGACGCATGGATTGAGATTCCAGTGCCGAATCGCGTAACGGATGTACTGCACGATAAAGAAATTTTGCGTCTTTTGTGTTTTAAATGCGATTTGCAAAGATATTGCTGCATTTAATTGTCTTACGGTAATTTTCAACACACAAAAGGTTCATTCCCGTCAACATGTACTGTTCGGTATTTTAATTACATATATCGATCTTCGACCTGCCCACCGACATCGATTCCGCCACCGACAGGGTCGTTGTCTTTTTTTATGGGGTAGGCGCGACAGCTGTCATAATAATAATAATAATAACAATTCGGTTTACTGGCAGGATGACCGGGGATTGATTCGCGGACATTTCTGTGTGGACAATCCGTCCTACTGTGAAGTGGCGTTCTTTTAGGGTTTGGATGCGTGGATTGTATTCATCCGGTTCAGGGTAGGGGCTGGTGGCGGGCCCCTGTGAACACTATTCAGTCAAATTCGACGTTTCTGACCGCCTGGCATTAGCTTTTCTGTAAGGACATTGCTCCGTGGAATTCAGTTGTATATTACGAGAAATAATTTTGACGGGCGTTAATTCCTTTCAACAAAGCGATTGCTGAACATTGTTGAGTGTATCAAAATTTACTTATCCGCTTGAATATGAGTTTGCTGTGTCCTGCACGGAAAAGGAGTTTGTTCTGCGTAAAGCGTTTCTGCATTGAGAAGGTCGTCAGGTATGTGGCTCCGCGCTGCCGATGCGATGAACTAACAGCATCTGATGACGTAACAATGAAGCAGCTCGCTTTGTGTACGCGTTGTACTCAGGTAGGAAGGAAACCTCGTGGTTTTGTGAGAGTGGTTGCTTCCAAATGGACTTGTTTGCCTGCATTTAGATTTGTAGCAAGAACTCAGAATCTTCCAGCACATGTCCGACAGCTTTAAGATGTGGGCTGTCGGATTCGTGGCTTGTGAAAGTGAAGTCTTTATGTTGTGAATGGAGCACGAAAGGAATATTGATAATCAGCTCATAAGAGAAGTTTCCGTTCTTTAATGACGTTTTAACTTTGCTGGTTTGCAGGAAGCTTGTCAGATTTCGTGTCAGCCGTGCCCCTTTCCTAGTAATGACGTGGATTTCTGTCTCTGGACAATTCAGTAACAGACAACGCCATTTGACTTCGGTGGTAGGCCGGAAGACACACTTGGAAGGTATCCGGTAGCCCGGATCTGTTTTTGTTACAGATTCGAGGGATATTTCGTCTCATCGTAGCGGGTTCTGTTAGACGCACAGACCGACAGGTTAGGACATTGACTTAACTTGAATTTCGCGTTAAGGCGGCTTCATATAATATCGTTTTATTCGGTGAAGACAAATATTAGTGAACCCCCCCCCCCCCCCGAAAAAAAACCGTGGTTCGGGAAGCATTCCGAAAAAAAGGTAAAGCCATCGAAAACAAAGTACCACAGAATCTTCCAGTGCCTGTAAGTTTGATCAGTGCCCCCTCCCAACTCTTCTCACTCCTCCTGGTTCCTTCCGTGTCGCACCTGGCGTATTCTTGCAAGAACTAGTCTTTTCCCTCAGTGGTGGGATGAGGTTGCTGGCGTTGGAAACACCGGTTTTATTTTCTTAAAGCTCCCCCCCCCCCTCACTGCCTATTAGGGGTTTGAATTTTTTTTAAAAAAAAAACTCCAACTGTTCTGAGCCCACAGCAATCTTCGTGAACACATCCTGTGTTTCCTTATCAAGGGGAATTTATTTTTAACTTATTGGGTGCTGTTATGAACCCCGTAGTCATTTCTCTCTCCTTCCAGTGACAATTCTAACCTAACTTTTTTGCCCGAATTATCCAGCAGATTTTATTATATTTTGTCGGATTCGAGCGCTCCTTGAAGTACGCACGGATTTGTCTGCGTGCCTTGTGCTTGTAATTAATATCTGATCGAGTTTCGTGATTTATTAAAGTCATCTTCGTTCTCCTACCAGAAGGAGGCGGATTTGAGTCGGACAAACAACGACGTGAGTCAAGAAGGAATCAGCTGCCCTCTGAGAACTTTATTTATTATAAGGAACAGAGATAATGCGGTCAAGGACGTGGCGCCGCACGCGCGATGCTAACTTAAAAACCATAATTAAACAAAAAAACTTGACGTCTTTTCTCGGTGACCACCTGCCACAATACACAATTTTTAGTTTGGCGGTCTGGGGAGGGGAGGGGGTGATTGCCACCTGACGCTCAGGTCGAGGTGGAAGGACAGGTGAAGTTTGGCTCCGGCAGGTGCGAGAACATGACTCTTCGTGGCCTCATGACTTCGATGCTATCGAGCGTGTAGTCTGTGGGGTCACGTGATATACCGAAAGAAATGGCGTTACAGCAAAGACGTAACTTCGTTCCTGTCGAGGTTTTGTGGTTTGTCATTGCCGACCGCCACTCGTGTTTAATCAAATATTGCGCATCTGTTACAGATGGCGTACTAAGACTGTTTTAATCAAGTAACTACCTAACAGCTGTTCCTTCTTCGCGATCGGCGTAGCGTAAGCTGTGCTTCCGGGGGCGGGGTGTCCAGAACGGGCCTCTCTTTCTTGGTTGTCCTCAGAACACTACAATTCAATATATGCCACTGTCGCCTTCGGTTTGACGTGAGGTGCGATAATGACAAGATTCTGTGTTGGTAATAGACCGACTTCTGTTCATGAGCCCATCTTACTTGAGTGATGCATTGCCGAAGTTTTTCCCGCTCTCTTAAGTAATTTAAGTAGGGCTTGACGTGTTTTAAAATCTGCATTATTCGCCATTAGGGAGCTGCGGGCTGACTGTCTTCAGTGAGGTTTTCTGGATCTTCCTCAGCTTCAGGTAGACGTTGGAATCTTCTCTCCAGAATTAATCCGCAGTACCACTTCACCTCAACGCTCACTGCATTATAACAAAAGTAACCAACACAAGAGCGTCTTTAAATGACCAACAACTCTGAGCTGCACAGAGTGAATCAAGAGCTTTCTCGTCTGAAGCCAAGTGAAGCAGATTCTTGAAATGATTTGACGTCAAAGAATTTTCTCGATTGTTTCAGGCTGCAATTCTTCAGCAGACGGCAGAGTACATCTATCAGCTGGAGCAAGAGAAGACCAGCCTCCTGTCCCAGAACTGTCAGCTGAAGAGACTTATCAACCAGCACGAGGGGCAGCAGCAGCTCGAGACTACGTCCACAAAGAAGAGGAAAGTGGACTCCAGTAGTGAGTATTTCAGTGAGGAACACCAGAAATAGAATCTTTTCTCACAATTTATGTTTGCTGCATGGTAATTTGTGCTTGTACGCTGGAAGTGTCCTGACTTTATCGCTGCTGAAATGTGGGAACCCTTATCTAAAATTATATTTTCATATCATAACATGCCACTTATTGATGAAATTTGAGTAGACAGGCGCATTCTCTTTCCTTCATCAACCAGCGACAACGATAGTTGATGATGCCATTGATAGATGTTGAAAAATTATAAAAATAAATTCCAAACCAGAGGATCAGACACTGAATATCCGAAATGGGCGAAGAGTTCTGGTAACATGAGTTGTCGATGCATTTGCAGGTGTCGTGGTCCCTCTTACCGCAGTTCCAGCAACAGTGAGCGAGTCTTCAGATGAAGGCATTGGCAGCATGTCACCAGAGCCGGTGGCAGTCGCTTCAAACGCATCTGTCGCCACCATCAATAGTTTGGACGGCGGAGACCCGAGTCGGGAGATGATCGACCTGCGAGTGCAACTTGACCGTGAACGGAGGCTTCGCATGCAACTGGAAGATCAGGTATGGCGGTTCAGGCAGAGTTTGACTTTAAAGGGACGCGTCGAGGTATGAAACGTCGATTACCGGTGAATAGTTTTTATTATAATTCCTGCTAACGTAATCATAAAGTAAGATTTGAGGTTTTCACAGCGGTGAGTATGAAGATTTCTGTCTTCTGGGTTGTTGCCCTGATGACGGAGGCAGTATGACCTCCGAAACGTTGGTTAACATCGACCTGACTACACAGCGCAACAACCCAGAAGATGGAAATCTTCGTAATCATAAAGATTCGAGCATTTGGATAAAGTAAATCGCACATTACTACAGCGTTCGAAAACTCGCCTTCCTCTCTCCACTACTACCACCTCTACTAAACCCCCCCATGTGAGAAGATGCCTTGTCCATACCAGCGTAGCGCATGTATTAGTTATTTTCTTCTTTTGTTGTCGTGTCTGTTGTGTGCAATTTTATCAGTCGGTAAAGAATGTACTTGTGACTGGCAAAATATTAGAACAGAAGTTTCTCGTACAAAGTCCATTGTCAGGCACAGAGAAATGCGCTTGCAGTAAGTGATGAAGCCTTAAAGTGAGACACTAGACGCACGCCTTCCCACTCATCAAGTGATTGTGAATTTCAGGTGCGCTCACTGGAGTCGCAGCTATATCCAGAACGAATTCGTGAGATCACACAACATGTTCAGTTGCAGTACCACCACCACCAGGAAGTGCTGGAGCACTCGACCCCAACAATCACGGTGGCCGCGTCGTCACAGAGGTGTCGTCGCGAGTCGCAACCGACGCTTCCCACCCAGCCGGCAACACAGGCGGTTGGCAACGGCGACAATCTCATCTCTGTAGCTCTTATGAAGGAGACGGCAGCCGCAGTGGCCCAGTTACAGGTTCGTGTGAGTTTGTGGGGAGCAGACGTCAGCCTTAGACTGAAATGAAAGTTGATAGAAGGAAGAAGTGAAAGGGGAGGGTGGTTCAGAAGAAAGGAGGATGGATGAGTGACGGCTCATGGGGAGCACTCGCTGGTTCGGGAGAAAGTAGGATGTAAAAGGAAGGTTTTTTGCTTTAATCGCCTTTCTCTCCCTTTTTTACGTCGCCTCTTATTCCAAATCATGTCGCCTCCCACGCAACACTAAGGGCCCCCTCACTGTCATGCAGCCGATCAGGCCGCCGCAGTACGCCCTTGTGACAATGTGTTGTCCTGTGCAGGTTGTATCTGCAGCATCGCTGCCACCTGTGGCACAGAACACCACCATCGTTTCAACGAGTCCGCTTCGGCTGTCCCTCACGCCACCGCCGGCAAGTCCAGCTCCTATGGAACCGGAGTCGCCATGTTCTCCGCCTCCGCCACCCATCTCTCCTTCCCCGCCGGAGCAGCGTCTGCCGAGCGTTCTGGAAGCGGCCATTAAAGCTGAACCGAAGGTAGAAGTAGAACGTTTACCATCACCGACGTCTGCATCTGATGATGTTACGCCGCAAGCCAGGTGAGTGATTGGGGCGTACTTGGGAGAGGGGTTGAGTAATAAAATGTTTGCCATGTGCCATATTTACTTACATCCCTCAATAAAATTTTTAGTTTAATGAGAAGTAAGTGACCTCATTTCTGACACACAAATTGCAGGATCTTCATTCAGTAACGGAACGTACGATCAGTCGTACGTCAGTAGCATTACTTCGGACAAGAGCGAAGTTTGGCTCTGGAATTATTTCCATTTGCACTTGGAATGTGAAGAAATTCTGGTTGCATGTGATTTAGGAGTTGCTTTGTTTCACCGACATTAAACTGTGACCATTTGGCTGTCACTCGGATGCGATGGATTAGATTCGGGTTGTGGACAAATTGCTTTCCAGAATATTGGAACCAAGGTGACTGGAGAATATTATGTAATTAGCAGCCGCGTAACTGGCATCCTCTTCATCCGGCGTTGTCGTCGGAATTATTAAATGAATGATATGTTTTGGGATGCATGAAATGCGGAATTGTGGTCGGTAGACGTCGTGGAAAAACATTACTTGGCAGGTAGGATACCATTAAAACTGATTCTGGCAGATTGCGCTGAATTGGGAAGGGAGAGTACATGTGTGGAATGACGATGAGCAGATGGGAAGCAATTTGCAATACATTTTCTGAAAGGTGACAGTTCATGGAAGGGCCATCACAAGTTTGTGTTCCTCGCGTAGTCGATTTAGGTGTCGGATAGTATCGTGTTCACGGCGTTACTGCTCTGCCTGATTTGCTTCTCTTAAACTAGTCTTTGGCATTTATTCAAGTGAATAAAGGAACTGTTTTCATTAGGCTGTACTTGGCGAGCACATCACGGCAAAACCTGGAAACTATTGTGGAGGCGATTCGACATCTGGAGGGTGACCACCTGTTCAGTGATGACCCTTCGCCACGATGCGGTCAACAGCAACGCCTCTCGAACAGCGTGATGGATGAACCCGCCCAGGAAGTTCCCTTGGCCCTCACCATGCACAACAAACCCGTAACGCCGCCCACCCAGACGCAGGTAGCCCACCGCCTGCTCAAGGTAGAGATGAACCCGTTCCTTCAGTTCCACAGTTCGCCGCAGTCGACACAGCAGCGAACGGCGCTTCAGCAGCAGCGTCCGGGCGTCATCGTAGTCAAGCAGCACACATGATTGTGATGTAACAGCGTTAGATAAACTACATGCACCCCATCCTTACCCCTGTCCCCAGCTCCACCATTCTCTCCAGAACAGTTTAGTACTTGGATCAAGGGGGCAGAGTCTGTTGATGCTGAAAATTGAGTGCCTAAATCACAGCTTTTAGCCGTTTGGTCGTCGAATGTTTTCGATAGTGCTCACCTGTTATTACGCCCCGTATTTCCATCTGTGCGAAGTTCAGTAATGGTACTAATGAGTTGACACGTCATTTGGTAAATTGTTGCCCGTAGTTTCAGTTACGTTATAAATCGGATATCGATCTTCTTGTTTCAGCGTGCCGTATGATCACGCTCTGTGTGCGGATGTGTGTTTGAAGAAAGCAGAAAGAGGTTTATACTCAACTTTTGGTACACAGAATTTTCATACCCCCTTTATTCCTGGTAGATCAACATTTTCTATATGAGGTTAATGTGTCGTGTGTGTCCCTCCCCTCCCCTCCCCTCCCCGGACTACCTCGTGGATCAAGTAAAAGTTAACTGTTTCTTTATCGTTGTATATCTGATGCTTTTTAATTTTGAGACCCGTGAAGTGGCGGGTCTTTCTAGAATGTGTGCGTATGTGGCTCTCCCACTCTGTTGGTTCACGCTGGACACGAAGTACGGGGATGTTACATGAGCAGAGTGGTGATACGGCAGTTGGTGCGAGTCCTCGGTGGTACTTTGGTCTGCTTTGTTGTTACTGAAGAGTTTTTGAACTGACATGATTGTGGCATAGATTGTACTGCTACAAGCCCATTTAAAAGAATTACAGCTATGATTCTTTACAACTAACGTTTGCTGCCGTGCCACCGTCACCACACACCGACGAAAACAACGACCCCCCCACCCCTCAGATCAGTTATGAACAAGAAATCATTGAAGTGTGCGGACCTCTGCACTGTGCTCAGTCGTAACTTCCGAGCTCTGCTTTTGCTTAACTTCGTCTCACTCGATCAATCACTGACTGTTAGGTTGGCAGGTTATTATGCAAGAGGCGGAGGGCGGGAGGGAGGGGGTCGGTGTTAAGCGGAAGGAGTGGAGTGAAGACTTTGAAACGTAAATTTCATTTTCCTGATTTCAAGTGTAAAAACTGCTTAGATTTTTATTGTTATTTAAAAAATGAAACAAAGAATGTGCAAAAAAATTAGGCATAGCATTGATTTGCCAGTCATTTTGTCTTCTTTCTATGTACATAATAAAGTACTACTGTTGTATGTGCTACGGTGATTTGGCAAATTGCCAGACTGACATTAATGGACAGATTCTGGAAGTAGTATTGACGACCGCTAATCTCCCAAAACTGGCTCTGCACTGTAAGAGTTGCCTACGAACGCTCGAGTTGTATTTTTTTTCCGCCTTGTTTCGACTTCTGTCCTCGTATATAAATATATATTTTTTGCGTTTGTTTATATTCTATATATTATATAAAATTTGCGTGAGTCCGATTCAGCTTGCGTGTAACTGTATACGTATCACTTTTATTAGTAATAATGTTTGAGATCGTTGGCAGCAGCTCACGTCTCGATATCGTGTTTTGTTTTCCATCAACCTCCGTTGTAGATCTATGTTATTTTCTTCAAGAACTAGTTTATACTTTATTATTCTAATGACTATGATGTATAATTAAAGGAATATGTACTGGCTACGCTGTCATATGAGTGATGAACGGATGCAAGGATGGATGTTTGGTGAAAATATGTAGAGTTGCTATTAATCTAAGCGAAACAGTTCCACGATGTGGGAACAGTACTGATAATTAGGTATTATTATCATTATCATTAATTGTCATTAATATAATGTCCTCTCTTTTAAGCGCGATGTTCCAGCATAGTTTGTTGGGTTCTGACAAGGCGAGGAGAGGATTCATTCAGTTTCTCTTTGAATTGAATTTTCATATTTTGTTGAAGCTTGGGGCTGATGGAAAAGAGTGTATTTTTGCAGGGGATAAGCTGCTTCCCAGCTCTGCCAGTTCTATTATTTGCTTAGTTTCATAAGAGTTCAGACTTTGGGGCAGGGCAGTCACTCTTTTATTATTAATATCAGTCATTGTTAAAGAAAGTTCCTTGAAGTGTAACTCGTATATCATATTAACATTGAGATTGGTAGTTGTTGCATTCTAGTAAGATAGAAATGGTGTTTGAGTCGCAGCGAACAGTTTTTAATGTACAATATTTGTGAAATGTAATGGTAAATAAAACCCCCACATTTATATTTCTCAGTCTAGTTTTTATAGATTGAAGTGAAGCTTGTTTATTCTGATTCTAAAGTTGTGTGAATGTTGATTTTGTTTTTTCAAGGGATGCGGATGGTTACCATTATCTTCACACATATCGTTATAGTTATTTAATGAAGGAGACGATGCATTTGGGGGCCATATTTCTTAAAACTACCAAATGCTAGCCAATAAGACACTGGGAACTGTAGAACGTCCATTCACCATATTTATTCGTGAAAAAGAATGTAATAACTACTGAATATTGTGTTCATTATTCACACACATTAACAGATATTCACTTATGATGTCAAAGACTTCACCTCTAAACCCTCCGCCCCCGAAGGTGTGTTTAAGTGCACTGAAATTTATATTATACAGCAAATATATTCCGTTACTTCTCGTACTGAATAAATTTGTTAGGTTTAAAGAACGATGTCAGAATTGATGTTTTAAGAACTAAATTTTACACACTGAACTTTTAAGTTCTCTCACATCATCATGAATGTTTCTGGATACACTTTTACTGTCATAATGGTGTTATAATTGGCGCCCCTCTCACCCCAGGTTTAATTGCTGTGATGTATTATAAATAATTATTATTATTAAACTTGTAATGATAAGGAGGAGTAATTCGTAATTCTTTGCTCAAAAAGCTCTGGTCTAGAGTCTGTAAAACTATTCCTGCTAATGGGGTGTATTTGATACAACAGCTGGTGGTGGGTCTGTCCACGCACTACTCGGGTAGGTAGTGCTGCAATCTGTTGGGCAGATGCCAGACACTTCCCACGCCTCCACAATGGTGACATTAGTTCCAGAACCTCAACAGGCTGTATGAAGTAAGTTGACTTTTTAAGGCTACTCCAACAAGATACTAATGCCAGTTGGATTTGTGGGTACGTCACTTGGCTGTACTTCTTTGCCTTTTATTTTCCCATGTGGTACATTCTTATTGGATTTGTTCAGATATATAAAATTTCCAAAGAAATTTATATTCAAATTATAAGTGAGGCACTTAGCAAGTCCCTGAGACTGGGACTTTTCAAACTCAATATTAGAATTTCAGTTTCCTGTTAATGCTGCTACAGACTAGAGTGTAGCACATTTGATGTGCGGTTAGCTTTGGAATTAGTGGAGTTGGCCCCATCTTTCATTACCATTTTGTTAAATTGTGCATTAATAACGTGGTTTTTGCGGCGAAACTAAAATTCTGAGAGGTAAGCACTGGAGATGATTCTGAATGATTTGTGTTTAATTGTTTACATTGACAAATGCAAGACGACAGCAGAGAACTGGAATTGTCACACAAATTGGTTGTATTTATTCAGTTTATTTCATACGATAACAAATTCTAGTTTTTGGTTTACCTACACTTGTGTGAGCTATATATATATTGTTTATGTAGTTCGGCTTGTGAGTCATTAGGAGGTTATGTTTACCAAATAGTAAAGTTGCAAATCTGCAAAAAAATGATGTTTTAAGGAGTGGCAGAAACTATTTACATTGTCAGAAAGAAAAATTGTAGTTGTGTGGTAATTTTTGCTTATTCAACTTCAAGATTCTTTTGCCATTCCCAAAAATATTGCATTTCTGTAGATCCGCAATTTTCTCTTCGGATTGACTCATTGTAATAAATTGTTAAATTGTCTTGTAATTTTTATGTTAAAAGCATTTTTACGTATTGTAGTAAGACTTGCCATCTTAAACTTTCTTTCTTTTGTACAAGTTTCATATTTGTGGACTGGGATCACTTGACTTTTTTCAGTATTTTTTTATTCTACTTGTGCACATTGTGGTGTTCCACGTGACATCCGCTTATGATATTTAAAAGTAGGGAACCATGTACAGGAAGATGGAGCAGATAATGGATAAGAACAATATTTCATTTGCAGCAAAGTAATCCATTTTCTTTGGGATCATTTTTGGTACCCTTTGGGGTGAAGTTTCATAGATAATATTAAACGTAATATTAGTCATATTACTATGGGTGTTTTGAAAGTTGTTTATACAGTTTGTAAGTTAGGACCTTAGCTCAATTTTACAGGCAATATAGGCTGATATTTTACAAAGGAAAGCTGGAAATGGGACACATTGAATTCATAACAAAGTACTGGTACTCTTCCTAACATATTTGTATTGGAAACATCAAACACAAACCTGCATTAGAAACAAAACTATTTTGATTTCCCTCGTGCTCCAGATTATGAAATTCTTGCCGTATATTCATTTCTGTTTTACATTCAAAGTTTATAATTTTGGATGAGTTGCGTATCTGTAACTGGCACTCCGTTATGTTTTGAACATAACTTCTTTCATTCATTAGGTGATCACTTTCTGTTGTGTATATGGTTGCCTTTGCCTTGGTTCTTCACTCTCATGAACATGGCAAAATATTTGTTTATATTGGTAACACTGTATTTTTGCAGTACATCATTTTGTAAAGTTAGAAAATGGTTTGAAAAATAGTAAATGATTCAGTTACTGAATTTCATATGGTTTTTCTAGTCCAGTACTCTATATTATTTCAACAGGAATGTAAGTGTGCATTTGTAATTGTTATAAAAATTGACCAAGGTCCTGTCTGCTTTATGACATAGGGCATTGCCAGGTGCAGCCTGTTGCTGTAATATGGAGAAACAGCACTGATAAAGTGATGAAAACAAACATTAACATGTTTTTATAAACCTCGCAAGTCTGACTGCTTTTGGGTATCGAAAAAATGTGCACAGAAGGTTGCGCCTAGAGAAGTACAAATCAAAAGAGGTGTTCGCACTCACATTTATTTCGTTGTCTCAATTTTGTGGCTTCTATTTGTGTTGCCTGTAAGAACATCAGTGACATCATAATTAAAAAGTATGTAGACAAATATAGTTTATTTCTTTTGTTGAACCCATACATTCCTTATTCATTACCAAATTAGTACTGCTGAATAAAGGCAAACTATAGCAACCATGAAATTATATGTTTTTTGGTACTGCAGAATAATATATAATGTTGCAATACCAACAACATGCTGTTAACATTTCATGTGTAATGTCATCAGGTGTTTCAACCTGTATTCTTCATTGCTTTCTTATTGTAATACATTTTCTGTCTAATTTTATTGTTTCAATGAATCGATGGTCTTTCTCTGCATTTTATATTATTTACCTTGTACAAGTACAAAACATACTCTGCTACAAATTTATGTTCTGTACACTTTACAACCAAAATTCTAGCTGTGAAATGTAGCTAAACTTTCAGACTTCATTTTAAAAGAAAACATCCTAAGCTTCTAGTTTGTGAGAAAATACAGTGGTGTTGATGTAAACCACATGCTTCTACTGGTGCTTTGCGGATATTTACATTGTCAAAATGTTCAGGTTGCTCAGAAATATTTTTGAAAAACTTTTACATGATGTTCTTATTCTGACTTTCATGTCACATTATCCCAATCTTTGTCACCACACTGGTGTTGTAATGGCTGTAGATGCCCTTGAATGATCTTCCACATACCACATCAAGTTTAAGAATTATGTCACAGCTCACTGTGCAGTAGATCTGTCAATGCAGCACTAATCATGGAACTGTACTGTGGCAAGTTTCATCTTCATCCACTTATATTTTAAGGATAAAACTGAAGAGCAGTGAGGGAGTTATTATCACCCATTAGGCCCGCAATGTAGTTTTTAATATTATATTAAAAGAAGTGTTTAAATTGGTCTCTCACCATTAATGATTGACACTATTAGGTATGGAGAGGTGGGTAAGGCCCTAGTGGACTAAGTAATGGGGAGTAAGCCACGTGAGCAAAGCTTTCGGATCCACATCTGCACACATCCCAATTTTTTGTTAGGCTCTCTCTAAATAGAAGGCTTATAAAGTTCAGAACAGTAGTTCCAAAGCCTACTGCGTACAGGCAGACATTAGAAATACTTTAATCAAGAAGGCAGTGATCAGGGAAGCCAATGTGAGAGTTCGAAAGTCAAACTAATTTTTGCCAATCTGTAAGCTGTGAGTGTATTTGGGATTTAGCTCTCTATTTTTGAGGACCGCAATATTCCTCTGTTGGAGAATCCTGCTTATTTATACAATTTGAACAGTTTGCAGCTACTCACAGGCTTGCTACCTCAGAAAACCAGCTAACGTTGGCCAATCTGTGCCAGCTACCAACTAACCACGTTATGGTCAAAGTGAACATCGGATATTTGAAATCGTGTGTTTGAAACACTTGGTGTTTCGTGTCCAGAGTCGTTCTCACACTTAAATAATCAGTTTATTTTGAAGCCTTGGTGTTCGTGTTAGTTATGAAGATTATAACAATCATGCAGACTTTCAAATGTTGAATGTAGTGGATGGCGTTCGCAGTTTCATAAGTTCCTTGCTCCATTTTGTGGTTTTGAATTTATATCAGTATCCAGAATGGCGAGAATAAATGATGACAAATTGAAACAGCACATGGAGGATGAGATGAATAGGTAACATTTTCATTACGCTTCCACATGTAACTATAACCTATTTGCTTCGAATAAATTCTGAATTTAATTACCTAATTCTCCCCTGTTATCGGCATCTCAGTATGCCGAATGACAAGATTCGTCACATGTTTGTCACGTCATTAATAATTATGGACTGTGTATAATTGTAGAAAACGTTTTAAGAGTTGAAATTAATTAATTTTTTTGTGGTTTATTTGAGATGCATTTATTGAATGGTTTATGTAATTATGTACTGTATATTGAAATTTCCACATTACAAAGGTTGAAGGAATAACCAGAAATTTCCACTATAGTACTGTTTGTTAAATGGCGGGCTCTTCGCACTGATTGTTATTGATAAATTATGTGTATATGTGCCTTATCCTTTTTGGGCAAACCAGTGTATGCCATTTTGAACATCTCATGTAGTTTGTGTTATAAATTATATTGCTTTGTTTTGTACTTATTTTTATCTTTGTCTTATGTATTTTATTTTTGGTAATATGAACACAGCAAACACTTTGCTGAAACATTTTTGCTTTATTTCAAACTATTTAAGTTTTGTATGTTCAGTGGTTTCTGCTGTAGCTTTGTGGCTCTACATGGCCTATGCTGTGGCATTTATATTGCAGTGAAGCATTTTTAGGCTCATAAAGCTACTGTTCAGTGTTTAAAATGCAAGGAGCTTGATGAAACACAGTTTTGCAGTGTAACAAACTAGATTATAGTTAGATATCTGTGTAAATTGATACAGTTATTTATTGTGTGTTATAAGGGCATGTTTACTGAGTGAAGTTCAAAACTTTGTAAATCACTCTTATTAGCACTGTCTGTTTTAGTTATTTTGCAAATGTACATGAGCATATTTGGCATGTTGACTTATCAACCTACATATAATAGCTTCACTCTGGAGGCAGGTTTTTATAACGTTTAATTCTTTGCCAACGTTGGTAAATGTGGTCCAAACAGGACAGATTAGACTACTGGTAGCCCATACATGAAGACCTATGTTTATTTTTATGTGTGTTGCAAAATATTATGTTGATGAACAATTTGGTCAGACGTAGTTACCAGGTACATGAATATTTTAAGTATGTTTACATTTTTTTTCACGGTCTTCTTGAATTCCTCCAACATTTCCAAAGTGTTGCATTCTGTTTCCGAACAGAAAACCCCCCTGTGCATTTATTATCTCAGGTATTTTATTAATCATGCACTGTATATGCATCGTGACTTCATATTCACTGTAATTTATAGGTTTGAAGCAGAAATTGCTCTGCCTGTTCTTCCTCCTCCACCGCCACCTCCACCACCGCCACCTCCACTTCTTGCCGTTGCGCCACGGCCGGTCATCGGATCCAACACGTATACTCAAGTACAGCGACGACTAGAGGAACAGCAGACCTTACCGCCAGCAGCACCAGGACCAGAGTTTCCACCCTGCCCTCCCATGGGATTCCCACCAATGATGCCTCCACCCGCACCATCTTTTCCTGGCATTCCCCCACCACCACCACCCCCTCCACCATTGCTCATACCACTTCAGGTTCAGCGCGGCCCACCAGTCAGGCACCGTGAGTATTACCAAGAATTCCGAAGCTCATATCCACGTGACTTTTGTATGCATTTCTTAAATAAATGTTGTACAGTTGTGGTTTGTTCTCCTTGTCTCTCTCTCTCTGAATTTGCGTGTCAGGCGCAACATGTTTTTATGTACTTTGAATACGTTTCATATTGTGAATTCTTACCAAGTTTTTAAATCCCACGCTTTTTCTTTCGAGCATTTCAGATCTGAAGTTCAACTGTGAGTGCTAATTGGAAATATTAAAGTTCAAGTTTGTGCCTGATTTTGTATTTCAGCAATGCGTGGGGTTGGCATGGGACCCCCTGGACCCATGATTGGTGGTCCTCCTCCAGGGTATATGGGACCTCCTAATCTGCCTCGTCCAGGTCCTCCCTTCATGGGCCCTCCGGGTCCTGGGCCTGGGCCCCAGGTGATGCCTATGGAACACATGCCAACACAAATGCCTCCATCTCAGCCTCAGATACCTGCTATTGTAAGGTGAGGAATGCTTCATGTCGTATGTTACCGTTCGTGATCAACGCTTTTGATTATTATTCGGCCTTTCGCACTGCATTGTGTCTCCTGGGCTCTGCTGGTGTATGCCGTTATGCATTTCATGTTTTATTTGCTGGTGGACTTTACTCCTGCAGGAAGACAGCGTTCTCCTTTTCTGTCTTTGTCGGAGAGTAGTGTCTTATATGTTGATGCTCAAACATTAATTGCATGATCATTTCCGAGCTGTTACTTGGTTGAGAGCTAAATTATTGCCCTGGAATTTCATCTTCAGTCTCATGTTAGGTTTGTTTATGTGATTATGCATTTACTCTGAAGGATTACATATATTTTCCAAAAGTAGTATTTTCGAATTTTCATGTTTGTTTATTATGGATACAGGTCCTACTTGTGCCAGAAATGGTCGCATTTTTGTATCCCCGTTCGTGTTTGTGATGTACTTTTTGTTTCTTTGTAGCGCTACGCCAAAGTTGTATCTTGCCAAGGCACCTGGTGCCAAGTCAGAAACGGAATCAGATGATCAGCGGAAGGGAATCAAGAAGAATAAGTCTGGTAATGAAAAGAGCATCATGGCTTCTCAAGAACTGTCTCATCGTGCGTGGGATACGGCCGAAAAGGTGAAGGCGAGCGCGGCGATGGTGTCCGTCGGTCCTGGATCGCAGCAGTCAGGAACTGCAGAAGAAGCGGTTACCGCCCCAGGCCGCAAAAAGGAGAAGAAAAACAAGAAGATAATTCGCATGGCTGGTGGGCAGATCTGGGAAGATAATTCACTTCTGGAATGGGAGGACGGTGAGCGTTATTGTGTGCTAGCCGTTAGACCATCATGGTGGAGAATTACGCGAAAAATGGAGCTGAGCGTGTGTCGGGATGGTCTATACTAGTTCAGAAGCACTTGCATGATGGAAAATTGGGTTCAGTACACTAATAGAAGCATTTTCTAATGGTAAAAGCATATTTGAAATGCATTTTCCTTTTAATATAAATTTACTTTTCAAGGTTTTTGTATGTACATTTTTTTATTAGAGATCACTACAAGGTTTTGTAAGATTTCTTTGATGACTTAAATAAAGTCTTTTAAATGCTGTCATTACGTTTGGCACGCTTAATTTAATTACTTCAATTCCTTTGTATGTGGCTGGGAAGGGCACAGAAAGTCGTCTGCTCCATGAAAGATTATGCCGAGTCCTACTTGCAAAACCAAAACTTCATTTGCAACCCCAGAAGCTTTGATTCTTTTGTGATTAATCGTAACTAATGTAACGTAACAGCATTTAATTTAGAACCAGTGCAGCGTGCGAATTACTTAATCATTACGTAACTGATAATTTGTAAATTTATTCAGCGAATGATTTCGCAGACTTCTGCAATGACCTGTGTGATTCTCTTGTTCCAGATGATTTTCGAATTTTCTGTGGTGATTTGGGCAACGACGTGACGGACGAAATTCTGACGAGAGCCTTCAGCAAGTATCAGTCCTTCATGAAGGCGAAAGTGGTACGAGACAAACGGTCCAATAAGACCAAGGGGTTTGGATTTGTCAGCTTTAAGGACCCTCAAGACTTCATCAAAGCTATGAAGGAGATGAACGGTGAGTGCGTCGTTACACTGCGCCAGATTAATGCATTTTGGGGCATCGATGAATTAAAGTACAGTAAAACCTCACTGCCGTCTTTTTTATATTTGTAATTTTTTTCTTACACAGCGTGGAGATTTTTTCTCAGATGAAAATTTAATGATGGCTTTTCCACGTCCTCTCAGCTTTTATTTCATATTTGCTTCCCCAGTGCCATCTGCGTTAATGAATTTTGCTGGAACGTGAAGAAATTTGCTTGTTTTATGAACTACAACTTGAACATGTGTTCTATAATTTAGACTCATCGCTGATTCAGACAAAAAATTAATTTGAATTAGTGAGGCTTCACTGTACAGCGTTCACTTGGTTCCTCTCTGCCAGAATTTTGTTCACCCCTCCTGTGGTGAGTTTGATGGATGATCAAACAGTGTTTTTGAAAAAACATTAGCAAGAGAAGGTCACGTTGTCATGGTCCAGAATCCATTTGACTTGCCGAGATTCGGTCTCTTATTTAGAATGTCCTTTGGAGAAAGTTCCATTAAATTAAGTATAATTCAGTTTTCCCTGTCGTTTATTGAATATGAAGTATAATGATTTATGAAATATAGCTTAAAGCGAATGTCGTGGTCATCGACGCAATTTATACCACTCTGTTGTGTGACGAGTCATTTTTGAGAACATTTTATTCAAACTTCACGTGAAGCTTCTTATATTTATATTTCCTCTGACGTTTTGAAACGTTAAACCTTGTTTTTGATTTACAAAATAATTTTTTTTTATTAAATTGTTAATGCCATCTGCTCCAACCACAACTCAACCGCAGTTTATTGAGAAGTACAGATTTAATGATGCAGATGATCTGAGATATTTCCTTCCTCAACTTTTTATCAAGACATTTTTGAACTTACGTTCGCCGGACCTCGGCGACTGGCTCTGTCGCTCCGGAGCGCGCCCCTCCAAGTTGGTTGTTCAAAATCAGAAGCCATTAGCTTTCTTGCGCGTGCAAGCGCACATACGTGATCAGGCATGATGCCGTAAGCCTGCTACTTCTTAAATAATGGAAATATTCTGCAAAGTGTCTGTTCGTAGACTGGCAGAATATGGTGGTCGTGAAGCCGGACGACTGCTTCAGATCCTTGTATCTGTGTCCCGCGTTTGGTTGATTCACCAAGAACGTTATATCGGGGGTGAAGTTAATATGTCATGTGACTGCAATGGAATTCTGTGTCTTGTCACCTCACGTTAATATTAAATGTCTTCTTGCTTGCATGTGGACTACAGACATAATTAGAATGCGGTGCGCGGGGAAAGTGGCTAGAGATCCAATTAACCCATACACAAAGGGAACTAATTAAGTTATGTTCCAATCATGTTCTTTGCTTCCATTAGTCTTTGTCTTTGATGCTATTGGTTGTTACTCAATTTGAGGTACGCTGGCCGTTTCTGAAACGGGCGTAGTTTTCATGTGAAACCAATATTTAATTTCCTGTAGTTTCGGTTGCAAACGTTTTAAATATTGATGGTCGTCGTGATCCACGGAGTAATAATCATAAATATTGGGATGCGCAATTTATCCGAGCAAATTCGGAGATATTTTGATGCATCTAACTTGTGTGTGGGAGGTGCCAATTTCGGATCTTGTCTAGGGAACCTGTTGAACTATGTGAGGTTTCTTGGTCTTCCTCAGTTACCTGGCAGGTGTTTGAACACTATCGTCAAATAGAACATGGCCGTTTCCTGTCTTAACCTTCCAATTCATTACGCACAGTAATGCTTTTATGTCGCCGGTTTTAACATCACCTATCACCGGCGCTTCTGTCGTTTTATTCGGGAAGTTCGAGGTTTAAATGTTGGCCCAGAAACTGTCTCGACTGAGGTCTTTTTGCGGCTTGCCTCAGCCTCTCCAGGTGAATGTCGGCATGTTGCACTAATTTTTACCTCACTGGGAAGCCTGCACTTTCCGCAGATAGCGTGAGAATGAGATGTGTTTAATATGCAAACCCATGACCTTTCAGGTACAAAGTGGGAGCGCTAAGAACTGTTTAAATAATTGGAATAGGAGATTTCTGCATTCCATTTCATTTTTCCAATTAATGCCTTACCTACACTTTTTATTTAAATTATATACTTCAATGTGTGATTTTAGTACGCTGATTGATGGATTATTTTACATTCCTATATCAACAATCAATACACAGCGTTGTTTGCTTTGTATTTTATTTAGTTTTAAAATGATTATTCCCTAGTCGCTTCGTAAATTTAATATCCATCCATTCAATAGACTGACGCACGGACATCAGCCATAGTACCCCTCCACTCGCGGGGCGTCTTTCCGCGTAAAATAAAGAAAGTAGGCTAACAAATGGGGGGCAGTCTTCAAGAGTTTACAAATTCGCAAACCTAAATTCTTGTGCGCCAGTATTTCCAACCCAGTATTTGGTCAACATATTTTAATACGAATTCAAAGGAAATTCATCTCTGATGAACAAAACTGGAGTGGGTGTGCTTGCCTGCAAAAGTGTTTTCATGTGCGCGTGTCACCTATCGATCATAGAAAAGACCCTTTTAACCGTAATGAAGTTTGGTATCAGTTGCATGAGTCCGAGGACCTACGCGCTTCTTTTGCACGTGGAAATGACTGGGTGGGGTATCTCCGCGCTGGGTTTACCTGGCCATCCAGTGGTCGCACTGGGGATCTCTGAGGAATTCCTCATGGGGCCATACCCCAGATAACTCTTACGTCACTGGCACCACTCATTAAGGTCAAAAGTAAAATCTGAGAAACACATCAAAATTGTTTTGCTCTGCACACATTTTCTAGTAATACATTATAACGTCTTGTAACGCAATTCTCTTGTTCTTACATTTGATTACATTCAGGGAAATTTACATACAGTTCTGTGCGCAGCGTATTTGGCACAAAATTAGTCTCACTGTTTTACACATTATTGTACCTACAGTCACTTTACATTTTGTTGTATCAGCTGATCATCTGTAGTGACTGTCAGGTGTTCATGATTCGCTGCAATCTGCATTTTAAATAATATTCTTACTGTTTTAGTACTTCAAAGAAAGAAAGAAAGAAATGTCAGAATAAGTTGCATTAATTATTGCGTTCTCTTTGTGTTCTTGTGCAAACACGACGGGCAGTGGCATTCCTCGAGTTACGTGCCACAACGCAGATCTATACTAAAAGAAAAGCCGATACAGCGTGTGGCGATGCAAACTGTTGACATCGTATGCTGTATCTTCACAAAATTAAGAAAGCAGCTCTTATGACTTAGGAGTTGAACTAAATAAGAGTTTTGAAATTCTACTTTTAATAATTAATGCATAAATTCACTTCATAATTATTTGCACAAATATGAGAGTAAATAATAGAGATTATGAAGGACACAAAAGCTGTAGCGAACCAAGGACATTAAGGAAAGGCATAGGATTTTCAAAAATCTCCAGGTCTTGTTTGTAAGGTTCGAAAGACGTCGTCCGGGAAATGCCGCGCCGAAACCGAAGCGCCTCGAGCCGCTCATTTTCCTTGAGGTCCCCAACCGTAGGACACGTAAAGCTGCGGGATGATGGAGTACTGCCTGCGAGTCGGGGCCGGCGCGACCGTCCCTGCCCCGCCGCCCATCGCGTTCCTCACGGCCACTTGCCGGTACTGCTGACTGGCAGTGGGGAAACTCTGTGCGGATGCTACCAGTTGCTGTGCTCCGGCCACCTCGAACCTCGACGGTGGCTTCGTCTGCTGCTGTTGGTGCATGTACAGGATGTTGAAGGGCATTCCCCCGGCTCCCCAGCCACGAGACGTGAAGATGTTTTTCTTCTCTTCTTGTATTGGTTCCAACTCATCCGCGACATTGTCGTCCGGCATTGGTGGTGAGTCTTGACGCATCTTCGTGTTCACTGCAAGTGACTCACCTGGTTTATGTAGGGAGACGACAGTGACTTCAGGCGACCGCGTGCCAAGTCGACTGGGAACGTCACGGTGGGTCGGTCTGTACGCGTCTGCAGCTCGGTCCATATCTTCCTGGTAAGAAGGTGCGTGATACGCATTTGCGCCAGAACCCCATATCCTTTGGTCAGGAAGTCCCAGGTTTCTGTGATGAAGACCTGGGACGTGAGTTCTTTCGTCGGAGTAGTAGGAGTTGCTGTTGTAGTCTTTGTCATCCCACGGCATTTTGTGATGTAATTTGAAGCCCGTCATTTGCTGAAGATCGTCTTTGCCGAAAACTTGGTTGTTGCAGAAGCTTGCGTCGTCATCACAATCATTTGCCATTTTTGTGAAGTCTTTCTTGCTGCCATGAAAGATGGAATCTTTGACACTTCGTTTGATGACGCTGCGTACGCCGGCGGGGATCTTAGGCGATATGACATTTGTCAGACTAGCTCTTGCATTGTTTTGAGCAGTTTCTGTGGCACTTTTTGCCGTCTCCGCTGAAGCCGCATCGGGAACCCGGTCGACTCTTTCTTCGACAGTTTTTCCACGTCTGCTAACAGACGCGATTAAATGGTGATTTGAGAGTTTATGGCCAAGAAGTTGAGGATGCTCTGTGACAGGTGAAGTTGGGCCAGGCATTGAATTTGCTGAAGTTGGTTCGAGACAGTAGACAGAAATGATGCAGTACAGTCCCAGAAGAAATTTATAATTCATCATCCAAGGATGTTGAGCGAATGTCTTCATATCAGAGACTCTTCTCATATTTGGGATTTGTAGTCTTCCTACTGGTACAGGGTTGAAGCGTCTGTAACAAACACCAGATAACTTACTGTTATTATCCTCGTCATCTCAATCAGTATTGATCACTTGAACTTTTTAATAATATCTGTTTTGAACTCTTACTAACAAGCAGACACAACATTGAATCATCAGACGATTGCTGAATGATGTATTGGGATATGGAAGGAGGCTGTAGTGACCTAATCTCCTTCCTAACACAAATTACGAGGTAGGCTTACGTGGTGTTAGAGCATTTTGTGGTTTGTGATTTTTCTCAGACCAGTAAAGGTTTGAGACTGCCTTTTTAAATAGATTTGGTTCCGGTATTTCCCACCCAACTCGATGGGCGCGCCGTGCTTCTTTAACAGCTGTGATCGACCAGTTAAAGAAATTCGCTGTCTCTTATGGGACCCAGAAGGCCATTACTGAGCTCAAAGCTTCCCCTCGAATACCCCGTGGAATGAGACGCGCAGACGGGCGGGTTCCATCGTTTTACGAATTTCGTGCAAACGCACACTGAAAAGGAACTTAACGCAGTAAGTCACACGCCCCCACCTACTTCCGGTGTCTGATTTCATCCCACGTTTAATAATCCTCTTAGCAAGAGGCATCAGGGAACAGAATAATTAATACAACAACGCAGCGAGTGGAGGACCTAGACAATTGTTTAACCTCAAGTTCGCTTGAAGATTTCCCAGAAAGACGATAACACACGTGGATGAGACAAAGCGATTACATGACATTGTGGTTGCCTGTCGCTTAGAGAAGTCGGTCTGTATTCATCCTGTAATGGATTCTCATGTGTACTTTTTAAGGCACGGTCTCAGGAGAGGCAAATCCGATTGTTTGTTTGCTTGAAAGTGTGACTCCCCTCTCCTTGGAGTTAGTAAGCTTCGCATTCTTGGAATTTTGCAACGGGTGGCATTGCCAACTGTTGAACAACAAAGGAGTGATTTTGGAATCCGTTTCCACTGCCTCGCTAAATGTCTGAAGGAATAATTACGCCGTAATTATTTCAAGCCTTGCCAAAATGAGCTCGGAAAATGCTATTCGTCTGTCCGAAAGTAATATCTCACCAGTAACTATCCACGTGTAGCACAATTCTTGCGACAAGCTAAAAGTAGCTCATTTAGTCGAGAAATTCCATTTCAAATGACGTTCGCTCTCGTTACGTGCTTTATACAGAGCTGGTGATAACTTCAGGCTATGCAACCCAACGCACAGCAGAGCACGTGCGCTTGCCTAAGCGTCCGAGGGCCCTGTCCCCTATTTCTTTCCAAGGATTCGTAGCTCGACAGTAACAGCGTGACGGAAGGAACCGGAACAGGTGCCTGAGTAATAACACGTGTCTTGATAACGAGATACACCGGAAGTCCGCGTTGAGTTTCTCTTTGTCCCTTTGTTTATTAACTTTACTGCGTTCGTCCTTTATCCCTGTTTTATTTCGTATTGTTCGTTCTTCTCCGTCTCTGAGTTTCTTATTACGTCGTAGTTCAATGGTCGGCTCTCGTGTTTCGTAATCGGGAGGTCCCGGGTTAAGATCTAATCTGACCGAGGTTTTCTGTGAGTTTCTTTAGTCCCTCCAGGAAACGAACGCCTCCTTCCCAATTCATTACTGACTGTTAGCCTCTCATCCAACGGCAGTCAAAAGTCCGGATGCCGGAAACTTAGTCAAATAAGGCGAACTTAACGAGCTTTGTCGTTTTTGTGGCTGTGTGGATGGCAATGTTCTTACGCGTTGTAACGCCGTGCGGACTTGCAGGTTGACAGATACCGACGTTTCAGTTTTGAAGATGGATACAGCGTGTTCCTTAACTGCTTCGCCATTCCGCGAATTTAGCCCGCTCTTAATTTCCTCGTCTGTTACCGCGGTCCGCAAATGTCTTCTTAACTTTTCCGGATTTTCTGAGGACGCTTCGACCGCTCAACTGCCTGTTACCGCATTTTAATGCTGTTGTATGACGTCTGTTGAGCACAAAATGGCGCCGTGTATTTTTATTTGTTTTTATTCTTAGCTTCAGTTAAATCATGTTTTGCAGGTCGCGAAAAACATCGCTGATTTTTCAGGTTTAAAGACAATGAATCGTCATTCATTTATGTTTCTAATGAAGTGTTTACTGAAAATAAACTTTCTTGTTCGTTCATGTGTAAACATAAACAAGTAGGACGCGTCGTTTGCTTTGACGGAGCTCCGCTGCCCCACTTAACCATCAGTAAGCGCGTTGTACGCGTTCAGCTTGGACACATTACCGCCGATTTGCTCTCGTCGTAGAAAACTACGGTCAAGGCAACATCTCGCGACCACCAACAGCCGTCCCAGGATTTTGCCGAAGAATTGTTATTTCGTGGTCGACAGATTAAGTAGTCGATTCTCCGATTGATGTCAAGTGAAAAGTCGAAATGCGTTGCTGACGGTTTTGTGCACCCCTGTTCCGAGAAGACTCCGGCTGTGGCGTGGGTGTGTCGCGTAGCCTCCTCGTCCGAACCTCCGCCCCCCAATATAAAGTACGTTTTTCATTAAACGTATGTTTATTTCCCAACGCCAAGCTGCAGGCGATCAGACCTTGTGACGATCGGAAGGCCACGAGGCTCTTGGTCGCTTGGTTCCGTCGTAGTTTCTCTCGGCCAGACTCGTTACAGTCGTCCTCTCTCCTGGGGTCCTGGTTTAGAATCCTGGCTGTGTCTTTCAATCTGCGCCGGCCGATAACGGAGTGTTGACCTATCACCTGCCGCTGATATTAATCTAGCCATTTTCTGTTCCACGCTATATGTCATGTGAATTAACACAGTTGTGGGTTAACCCCCCCCACGGAGGATCGTCGATTCATAATAATTGTAGCCCTTTATCGGAGACGGATGATTGATTACGGGGAGATCCACGTGGGCGTCTGAGCATCAGGCCTGTGTGTTAGGTCAGCCGTGCAGCTGATCTGTGCCTTTCGATATCGGTGGAGTGTTTTATCCTCGAACGTAAACTGAACCGAATTCTGCGCTTGTCAACCGGAAACTCCGGGAAGGTTAAGAAGTCTCTTTAATATCTGTTAGTGCGTTCCTTTGCGCACAGATTCGTAGCCCAAATGAGCAGGTGCTTGTGAAACAACCCTGCACCACGTGGGTGACTAGTTTATCCAGGCATTTGCGTGGAAGGCCTGAGGGATATGAACCAATCAGCAGAATCCTTAAAACAGGAGAAGCTGAGAGTCTCGTTCAGAAGGAGCGAGAGACGAGTCATAGAAACGCGGACGAACGGCCAACAGGTTCTGCGGTTTATTTATGATTCGCTGTCTCGCGAGGTGCCAGTACACGACAGGCGATAATTGAAGGCGTGGCCGATCAGCTGCAGCTGGTCGGTTAATTACCGTCTCTCTTATCAGCGTTATTAAATATGCCTTATAAAGCCATGAAACCACGAGTACAAAGTTTACTTCCACGGGATTATGATGATGGATGAGGAACTGAAATCCTTATTTTTTCATTAGTCGTCATATTGTGCGTGTGATCGAATGCAAAGCCACGCACGAACACGTTTCTTTCTACACGATCTGCCAAACAGAGTAGCGCTTTCGGCGACAACACGCTGTTCACAGATTTTCTTGCATGCCTGTACAGCCAAAATTCGGCGGTGAGGGCCGAATTCGTAAATATTATTCGTAGTAAATTGGATCTGCCGTCAGTGGGCTCGTTAGTTCGCGACGTGTGTTCAAGTTTTTATCGGACTGCGTGGTGCTAATTCCCCCCGAGCGAGAGAGCAGTCGACGGAAACTTTATTCTGTCTCTCTCTTCCGTGGGACGAACATCGTGAAGGCGGGCCAGCGTTCTCGCTCGTGTCAGGCGCAAGCTAATAATAACTCGTGTGAATTCTGTACGCGGTTCCTGAAATTACGGTCCTTTCATTGCGCGAGCGGCCGTGGGCTTTGGGTGTGCCTGAGTAAATACTTTCAGGCTCTGTACTTCGGGCAGCGTTGCGTCGCCCAGCTCGTCAAATACTTCGTGTCCTTCCGTGGAACTTGGAGGTTTGGTTCTGTGGTCACATGACCCAGATCGATCAAATCCACGCTGTCGCACTCCGTTTTAATATTATTCTCCTAGTTGTAGCTCTATGCCAAGGTAGTGCAAAGGTTAGTGCTTGATGAATCATCGTCTCATTCTTTGAGAAGAGAACGTGAATTACGTGTTTAAATTTTTTAAAAAGTAGGAAAATATTTGGACCTGAGAAACTTGGAACTTGCTCAAGATTGTGAGGCAGATTTGGATTTTATATTTTCTGCCACTGGTGCAGCCTACGGACCGAACGACCGGAGTTTACTGAGAGTAATGAGATGAAAGGAGAATGATCTCGTGTGCGTTTTCATTTCAAGGGCGTCCTTGTTTTTGCGTCAGCCTGTATTCGATGTTTGTTTTTAAAAAGCACTTATTTTAGGCGTGACATAAGCGAGGTTATAAACATTAAGGTACTTATCTTTGGGACTAAAGACGCCGCCGTATCGTTTATCGACGTCTGTCTTACTCCTACAGAATGGCCACCTCACATAATATCCAGATGCTGTTCGCAGATGGGAGGATAATATTAAAATGCATAGGGTCCAGAGGCTGGCCGTTGTGAACGTGGCAGTAGCCCTTCCGGCTGTAAAATCCTTGAGTAGTTGAAGGACCCTGCTCCCTATTGTTAACAATGTTACGCGATCTTCGTTGACGAATCCCGAGGCTAGAAGCTTTAAGCCCGAAGCGACATTTTTGTTACGCAGTTTAATTTGTGGGGGTTTTGCAGCGAATAATGAAATCAGAAAAGTTAACCTTCCCCCGGATTTGTACTCTTCGTGTGCAGATCTTTTAAAAGTAGGCCTGTGTTTTCCTGTAATGTGATTTTGTGTTTTCTAATGAGCGAAGATCCGACACGTGGGTGCAGGAAGATTTCTCACTGCAGTTGCGTAGCTGACTCTTCTCTCGCTAATTCTGTCTGCAGCTGCACATCTGTGGCATTAACATGTAATCTTAAGACCCTAGAAGGATCCGTAGACTTCGGAG